ACCCGTCGTGCGGGGGCTGCAGTTGGCCTGAACATCGGTCCCTCCCTGAGCCGGGCAACGCCTACGGCTGCAGCACCCGCTTGGCCCCGCTGGCCAAGTAACTACCCAAAAGAGCGAGAGGAGCACGGTCCGGAAGAGCCGCTGCCTGTTCAAGGGAAAGGACCCAGCGGCACAGGCCTTCAGCGGCGCCGAGAAAAGGCACACGGGGAGTTCAAGGCAGCGACCCGCTGACCTAGTTGTTCTAGGATCCCCTTCCTGAGATTACCTTCCTACAAAGCCCAACCTCACCGTCCCCTAAGCCTGTGCCCTTGAAGGCCTTCAGCCTCAGCTCCAGCGCTCACCCTGCCCTGAGAACGCTCTAGTCTTACTTCAGCATCATTTTTATCCAAACGTATTTTCCCCCATTAGCTACCCAGCTCCTCAGCTCTAAAAGGACCACTCACTCCCCCACCTAATTTCACATGTAACGCATGCCTCCCAGAGCGGTGGGAAGACCAAGGTGACCTTTCCAGGGCACAGAGTCCCCCCCATCCCGCACCCCAATGCCGGGACCTGCCCCGCGCAGCCTACGGGGAACAGCCGCACAGGGAGGCGAGGCTACCGCAGCGGGCTTCAGCCCGACGCTTGCCAACGATGACCAAAGGAAGCAGTTTTCAGCCGTCAGGAGCAACCTGGTTTCTACGGCCATCTATTTATGCTCTCTAATAAAGGGAAGAGACCTTCAACTAAACATCGCCCTCTTCCTCTCCCGCAGTGCTTCTGCCCACTGCAGCTGCTCTTCCATCGCTCGGATGTGAGGAGCGACCCACAGGCATGGACGGCGTGTCCGGCACTGGGTGGGCTGAGCTCGGTGTAGCATCCCATGCTCCAGCCATGCTATCATGGTTTGTCCAACCCAGTCACGCAAGCGGTTGAGGAGGGAGAAAGAAGAAGGTAAGATAGCAGCTGTAAGAGGTAAGACACCTCCTGACTTTGCCCTGTTCCTCTAAACTCGGCATCCCATGCCCTCCTCTCACCCCCCTCTTCCGCTACGCCGTCTACTTCATGTGAACGCGTTTGTGCTCAAACAGGTGCTGCTGACAGAGCTAACTCTTCTCACGCTCACTGCACTAGTATGGCCTTTCCCTCCTTGCGTGGATCTTCCGGTGGACAACCAGGTGGTGGTGCCGCTTGAAGGCTTTCTGGCACTCAGTGCACTGATACGGCCTCTCACCCGTGTGGATTCGGTGGTGGCGGACAAAATCAGAGGCCCAGGCAAAGCTCCTGTCGCAGCAGGGACACAGGATGAGGTGATGGTCTGTGTGCATCCTCTGGTGGAGGATCAGAAAGCTCTGGCTGGAGAAGTTCTCCATGCACTCACTACACGTATATATCATTTTCCCAGGAGGCAGCGGGTACCTATTGGGGCCGGACTTCTCCCACTCGGCAACGGTGCCCTTGTTTTGGGCAACGGACTGTGCGGCAGGGCACTGTGCCAAGCCGGAGCATTCCTCGGCATCAGAGGGCAGGCAGGACCCCTTGGTTGCCCAGATATGCAGATGACGTTGGATTTTTTTCTTGGATTTGAAGCTCCTGCCACAGTGCGCGCAGATGTATGGCACCCAGCTGGCATGGCTCCTCTGGTGGATGATGAGATTTATCTTCAGCAGAAAGTTCTTCCCACACGCATGGCACGTATAGAATTTCTCCCGAGTGGAGCTTCGCTGGCAGGCTGCAGTCCTGCCCACGCAGGAGCTTTCCACCAGGTTCCCCAGGGAAGTAACTGAGCGGCTTGGATCTGCATGTGCCGTTGCTTTGCAAAGACCTGCTACGTCCTCCTTACCCGGATCTTCAGGAACATCTTCCACTGGATCCTGGCCACCTTTCCCTGAATCTTTCACGTCCTCCTCTTCCAGCCTCTTCAACGGCATTTCAGGCGTTGGCAGCTTTTCTGCAGCAACCTCCACTTGCTGTATCGCTGCTGCAATCCCCACCACAGCATCTGCTGGAAATTTTACAGAACCAAATGTCATTCTTCCACTCAGTTTTGAGGACAAAGCATAAAGATCAAGGGGCTCTCCTCCTGCCTCCTTCCCTCTCGTCCCCCCGCTAGCCAGCAAGCTGGTGCAAATCTCTGAATTGCTCTTCTCTTCCAGCTCAGTGTTCTCATACCCGAACTGCAGGAAAGGGCACAACTACAGCTCGTCATCGTAGACACCCCAAGGGTGATTTGAAACAACAAATGCCACTTACGTAGGATGGGGAGAGTCCAACAGACTTTAGTAGGATGGAGAGAGTCCAACATAGATTAGGGGCTCAGCCTTCAAACAAAATAACCAAGTGAGCTGGTTCACACTATGCCATGCCTTACTCCTTAGAGTTTCAAGGCTGGCAACAGCATTCACTGTCCAAACCCATTTGTAGCCCATCTGGATCACGTAAAAATCCTGTCCTGAAAGCCCTGGGCCCTGCAGAAACCTCCTGCTGCTCTCTGAGCATGCCACCATCCCCTGGGACTGCAGAACCCACCAAAGAGGGATGAAGGACCCTGTACCTGCTGCAGGGGGAGGAGATGGAGACTGGTTCGGATTCACCACTTCATGCGAGCACACGGAGAGAGGTTGGGAAGGGGAAGGGGTTGGTTGACTGACATCCACTGCAACAGGAAGGACTCCATGAGGGGTGTGTGCTGTGAAAGCAGAAACACTGATTATGACACTGGATTAGACACGGCCAAGGAGGGTCCCAAGACCCCTCACACAGGCTGGATTTGCCAGCCACTCACATGCACAACAGTCTGGTGGGTCTCCTGGGCTCCTGTTTTCCTCCAAGTCTCCGCAATTCCCCTCACAAGACTCTTTCTCCGTTTCCACCCGCAGCAGAGCATCATTGCTTACGCTGCTAGGACAGTCCAGCTCTGGGGAGAAAAAGGACACTCTGCTTTACCAGCAGCCAGCCAGGAATGCAAAGGAGCAAGTGCAGGCATGGGGGGACGGCGGGTCCCCTCTTCCCAGGTTCACAGCGCCTCAGGAGACGCAGAGCACAATCCCTGCGGCATACGCATTACCACAGGAGCTGCTGTACCAAGGGAGCGTTTCCAGGCTGTTGATGTGTCCCAGCACATGTTCCCCCATCATCTCTCAGCACAGACTGTTCACAGCCATCACAGAAGACACCTCAATCCCTGCGGCTGAGGGCAGGGATCTCAATTGTCCTTTTAAGTGGAGAGGAGCCAGGATCCTGGCACGGAAGAAACGCAGCGTCACTCACCTGTGGGTGGATCCACAGGCACGTCTACTCTCTCCAAGTCTGACTGCGCTGGCACGCATGGCTCTTCCCCGTTTTCAATCCGACATAAGAGGTCAGGCTTGCATAGGGCACAGTCTGTTCAAGGGCAAGACAGACAGCAGGGGCAAGATGTGACAGTATCTCTGACGGTGCACCCATAGCCTTTTGCATGCACTCTCAGGACAGAGCCCAGTCCCTGCCCAGAAAAACTTCATCTCCAAACAGAACAGTGTCAATGCCAGCACACGGGCAGTTATGCGACACAGACAGGGACCAGCAGGCAGGAGTCCTGGAGGGAGAATCTGAGAAGAATCTTCTGACACAGGCAAAAAGAAAAAAAAAAAAAGCAGTAATAACTACCAGAAAATCCATCCCTGCTCCATCTAGGGAAAGTTCTCATTATATAAACCACCTGTCTACCAGAAATTCACCCTACAGGTGGGAAAATACAGGTTCTGAAGCACAGGAAGAGAGCTGCAAGTCTCCTGATTGAGACCCTATTCGCTCACGTAACAGCTCTGCCTCCCTCCACTTCTGCAGTCTGCCTCGCTACATTTACGTGCTCCAAACTACCACCACCTACCGCTCATCACTAGCCACGAGTTCAGCTAGTCTGAAAGCAAAGCGAGGATCGTCATCCAGTAAAGATGAGGATAAAAGACTCTGACTCGCCCACCTGTGACAAGAGCCACTGCCGTAAGGAAGACACTAGTTCCCCGACCTGCTCTGGGATTACACAGAACAGTGAGCGTGCAGCCCCGGCGGGGCTGAACGGGGTGCTGTCCTGCAACTAGCCGAACTCCAAACCTTTTATACGTACGCATGTCCCTAAAGAGAAAAACACCACCGAAGGCAAGTCCTGAAAAACGCCCCATTTGGGAGACCTGGTTTACACCGCTTCCTACAGGCGGGCAGGTCTGCAACAAACTCCAAGGCAGGGCAAAGCGACGTTTTCAGGTCAGGACACCTCAGTGCCACCCCCAGCTCCGCAGCAGGTTCCAAACAGGGCTCTTTTCAGCAGGATTTCTGCTGCGGGTTCCTGGCTTTTTGGAAAGCTCGTCTCCAGGTGTGAGCGGCACGCATTTGGGAATGAGCCAGAGGCACTCCAAACGCTGCCCCACGAGACCTCCTCCCCACCACGAGGGTACGACTAGCCACGCTGCGTGAAGAGGGACGCACAGCACGCCCGCCACGCCGAAAGGAACCCACACGAGGCTCTAGACAGACGCGACACAGGGGATTTCTGCAACGATGGCTCAGGGGACTCAGTGTACCTGTTCTCCACGAGGAGAGGACACCGAGCACTTACGACACCCACCGAGCGCATCTGGCAACCTCCGCTCACTTTCAGAGGGGACAAGAAATTGAGCAGGTGGTTTGAGGGCTGGAGATGCCAGTGAAACGCAAAGGGGCAGGAAAACAACCCCGAGAGAGCTTCCCCGGCGGCAACTGCTGCTGCCAAAGCACTGCAAGCGGAGTCCTACACAGGGCAACCAGCATCTCGTAGTTCCCCTGCATCACGCTCCCGTACAGCTCCTTCTGCCAGTCGTCCAGGCTCGCCCACTCCTGCTCGCTGAAGCGCACCGCGACGTCCTCGAAGGTCACCGGCACCTGGGACCACAGGGGCCGCGCTCAGC